ACTCAGGAGCATTTGATCACATGATTAATGCCCTTACCCTTTTCAGTTCCTATCAGTTGTGCTCTGGTAAAGACAGAGTCTCTACAGCAGATGGTTCACATATTCTCATTGCTGGGAAGGGGACAGTTAGAGTAACCAATGATATAACTTTATCTTCTGTTTTACATGTCCCTACCAACCTACTTTCTATTAGTTCTTTGACAAAAAATTTGAATTGTTCTGTGACCTTTCTTCCTGGTAATTGTGTTTTGCAGGATTTGGAGTCAAAGAAGATGATTGGGAGTGGTTGTGAGGTGAATGGAGTCTACCTTTTGGATGAGATTCCGAGACATCAAGGCTATCATGCTAGCAACAATAGTAGTAGTGGGTCAGAGTCGGTGAACCAGATTATGCTTTGGCACAATCGCTTGGGGCATCTTTCTTTTAGTTCTTTGAAATTTCTTTTCCCAAAGTTGTTTGAGTCTGTTCAGTTATCTACCTTGGAATGTGAGAATTGTCAGTTAGGAAAACATTGTAGACAGTCTTTTAAACCAAGTAATAAAAGAAGTACTTTTGCTTTTAATATTGTTCACACTAATGTATGGAGGCCATATCATATCCCTTCCATGGGAGGATACCGTTACTTTCTCATGTTTGTGGATATACATGATGTTCTTGGATATATTTGATGAGATCACGAGATGAGGTTCCTAACTTGGTAGGACAGTTCCATCAAATGGTTTTCACACAATTTGGAGTGAGAACTAAGGCCTTTAGATCAGATAATGCCAGAGAGTACTTTGAGAAGGACCTGGCCACATATTTCTTAGAACATGGTGTAATTCATCAGAGCAGTTGTGCATATACACCGCAACAGAATGGAGTAGCTGAGAGGAAGAACAAACACATTGTGGAGGTGGCAAGGAGTCTTATGGTGTGCGTTTAGTTCCTTTGCATTTCTGGGGAGATGCAATTCTTACAGCTATGCATTTGATTAACCGTGTTCCTTCACGGACTTTGGGGTTTAAGGTGTCATTTAGTCTTATTTTTTCAGATGGGGAGATATTTTACATACCTCTAAGGGTTTTTGGTTGTGTTTCCATTGTTCACATTTTTGGCCCCCATCGCAAGAAATTGGATCCTAAGGCCAAGAAATGTGTTTTTTTTGGGTATGCTCAGAACTAAAAGGGGTATTACTGTTATAACCTAGTGCCGAGGAGTAGATTTGTGACTATGGATTACCTTTTTTGAATCCACCTTCTTCTTCTTGAATGGTTCTCCTCAGGGGGAAAGTTTTGGGGAGAACTTACAATCTGTTCCTCTTCCTGTTTCTTTTGTGCCTCCATCAGTTCCATCATCAGTTCAGCCAGTACCTCCATCAGTTTCATTATGTGAGCCACTACGGGCAGCCTCATAGAAATATTAGTGTTGTTAGACGATGGTTGACTCTACACATCCTCAACCCACACCACTCTCTATCAGTCTTTTTGAAACTCCAGACTCAACAGATACAGTTCTAGGTATTCCTCTTGAGCCTGTTATGTTTTCTAATGATAATGTTCCTGTATCTAACACCATTGTTGCAGCTGATCCCACTGACCTTGATCTTCCCATTGCACTTCGTAAAGGGAAGAGAAAGTATATAGCCCATTGTATTTCGCATAATCTTTCCTACAGTGCCTTATCACCCTCCTACCGTACTTTCCTTTCTTCCTTGCATTCTGTGCCTATACCCAAGAATGTTACTGAGGCTCTCTCCAAACCTGAATGGAAAATGGCCATGCAAGAAGAGATGGAAGCCTTGGTTAAAAACCAAACTTGGGAAATTATTGATCTCCCCTCAGACAAGGAGACAATCGGATGTAGATGGGTATTCACAGTGAAGTATAGGGCCGATGGCAAGATAGAGAGGTACAAGACATGGTTGGTAGCAAAAGGTCAGACTTGTGGTTTTGATTATCTGGAAACCTTTGCACCAATACCTAAGATGAGTTCAATTCGTATCCTTTTATCTCTGGTAGCCACCTATTCATGGCCTTTGTTTCAATTTGATGTCAAAAATGCTTTCTTCAATGGCGATTTACAGGAGGAGGTATATATGGACATTCCAGTAGGCTTTTATGAAAATGTTGGTAAAGGAAAAGTGTGCAAACTTAGAAAATCTTTGTATGGCCTGAAACAGTCACTTAGGGCTTGGTTTGACAGGTTTAGAGGAGCACCTATCCGTTCTGGATACACTCAAACCCAGTTTGATCACACCCTCTTTGTAAAGAGGAGAGATGCTCTGGTGTCAATTCTGATTGTGTATGTGGATGATATAGTGGTTACAGGAAATGACCTGGAGGAGATTGATGATCTTAAAAATCATTGCAACAAGAATTTGAGATCAAAGATCTTAGTGAGCTCAAATTACTTATTGGGGATTGAAGTTGCAAGATCCAAGCATGGGATCTTCATCTCACAGAGAAAGTATGTATTTGACCTATTACGGGAGACTGGGAAGATGGGAACCAAACCAACAGACTCCTATTGCTCCAAATCACAGAATTAATGTTGTGGATGGTGAGTTGGTAAAAGATGTGGGGAGATATCAAAGGATGGTGGGATCCTCATTTCACAGAGAAAGTATGTACTTGACCTACTATGGGAGACTGGGAAGATGGGGACCAAACCAGCAGACTCCTATTGCTCCAAATCATAGAATTAATGTTGTGGATGGTGAGTTGGTAAAAGATGTGGGGAGATATCAAAGGATGGTGGGCCGACTGCTCCAAATCATGCACCTTGGGTTCAACACTGTGAAGCTATTGAGAGAATACTTGCATATCTGAGAAAGCACCCTGGCAGAGGCATTCTTTTCTCAAATCATGAGAATCTGAAGCTAGAATCCTATACAGGTGCAGACTAGGCAGGATGCTTAGATGACAGGAGGTCTACATCAAGAGTGTATACCTTTGTAGGTGGAAGAGTAAGAAGCAAACGGTTGTGGCAAGGTCAAGTGCAGAGGTTGAGTATAGATCCATGGCTCATGGTGTCTCAGAACTTTTTTGGGTTAGATCTCTTTTGTGTGAGATTGGGGTGAAAGTAGAGGAACCTATGATGTTGTACTGTGACAATCAGGCTACAATCAATATTGCCCACAATTCAATTCAGCATGACAGGACAAAACACATTGAAGTTGATAGACACTTCATAAGAGAAAGGGTAACAGCTGGAGAAGTCTGTTTGCCTTACATCTCTTTAGAGTTGCAGTTGACTGATGTTCTCACTAAAGGGATGGTAAAGAACAAGCTTGAACATGATCTACGCAAGTTGGGAATGTGTGACATTTACTCCCAACTTGAGGGGGAGTGTTGAAGATTAATCAGTTTTATGTTGTTTTCTGAGTAGATGTTTTATGTTAGTTGTTAGATAAGAGGTGGGGACCATAGTAGTTATGTGAGTCCAAATTTTATTATGTTTTTGAGTCTTATATATGCTGTTTTATGTTTTGCCGCCCTATAAGGGCGTAGTTGTCTGTGTACTTCTCTGTTATTTTTAGTATAAATAATAAGTGAAGGGGGCGGCCAAATTATTGCTCTCTTTTCTTTCAAGATCTCTTCTTCTCCTTCTCTCTTCCTTCTTTCTTCAAGAAACCACTTTCTGTTCATATTTTTTGAGTTCAGCAGATTTCTACTCATTTTAATAAATTTAAACAGAGAGGATTACAGGGATTTTGGAAGAGTTTTGGAATTTAAACTGTTCAAGTTGACTTTGGAACCTAGGTGTCAAACATACTTATTATTAGCGACTTTGGAAGAATTTTGTGAAGTGTTCCACATTTTAGGTTGATTACTGCAAGCAATATATAACTAGAACAAAAGTTGTTTGCCAAAAGCTTGGGGTGCATTACACCTATTCTTTAACATATATCAATAAAGTTACAATGTTTACCAATAATTAAATGTTTGCCTTTCTTGGTAAAAAATAAAAATTGAAGTAATAGTTGATAGTATGATTGTCTTGGGGTGCATTAGTCCTGTTCCTTAACTTGGTCATTTATTTTTCCTTTCTTCATTGGAAAATTACTTAAACCTCCCCTATATTTTTTAATAAGGGTGCAAGTTAGGCTGCCCAAGTTGAAGACCTTCAACTATACTTCAACAATATCGAAGTTATTGGACTTGGTTTAGGGTTTGGGCCTATTCAAAGTCTTCCCAACCCAATCCAAGTTGCACCCTGCTTTTGTAAACCAGCTGAAACTTCCCTTGCTTTTCAGAAATAAGCTTAGACATTCCCATCACATATTTTTGCTACTACAGGACTCCTATATTCTGTTAGATATCAATCCCATAGGCATTGATTTTTATGAAGAAAAAAAATCAATCTTGAGAGTTTTGATTTTATTTGTGTTTGAAGAGAGGTCACAATTGGATTACTTAAATCCTAAACGTTAGGAAGTTGATCTTTATTTAACCTTATTCTGAAAGTAGGACACCAGGTTATAGATCCATTTAAGACCTTAAAATTTACTTTTACAGAAGGGAGCAAATGCAAATAGAGATGTATCATAGCTTCTCTCTAAAAAGAGGTTAGATCAAATATATTCTTTTATACTAGAAATAGTGTCCAAGCAGTCTGTTTAGAATACAAATCATTACTAGCTGCTAATAATCTATATTAAAGAAAGAGAACAATTTTTTGACAAAACTGGATTTATTTAAAGTTGCTTATTTATGGTAATGATCTTTGAATAAAAATCAGAGACATGTCTAAAGACATATACACTACTAAAATAATCCATATATTTTGAGTTTTGATATCTGATAAGCTTTTCTTTGTTATTTATGTCTTAAGTATATGGATGGCCTAACGCGATTATGGTTATGGATAGCCTAACACCTTTCCAGATTGTTATATGAATTCCTTACATTATCATTATAAAAATGAATGGCATTTACAGTTACAATTTAATATTTAATTGAAAGTTGTGGTTAAGAAAGATCTCTTAATTCTAATGCTATAATGTGCTTATATTTCAGGTTATTAAGGCATTAATTGGTTGTTGTAAAGTTGTATTGCACTGACAACTAAAAAAATGTAAGTTTTGTGTGAATACTCAATTGGTTCATGTTTCATTTGATTTTTCGAGTTGCTAAATAATCTTTTATCATTTTCAGGTCACGTAGGAGGACTAGGTGTACAGTTTTGATTGATGCTGAAGAAGCTGAAACTCAACAACAACAAGAAGCTCAACCACAAGCCACACAACAATCCCAACCCCAAACACAACCTTCCCAACAACAGTCCCAAATCCAACCACAAGCTACATATAATGAAACACAGGTTGAAGCTTCTCAACGAAAGAGAACCCGTGGCCCTACATTATGCAAGGATTTATTTAAAATTGATCCCACAAAACGTCTGAAGGTGGGTTTTAATGAAATGTGGCAACCTATTGGAGATTCTGGAGGTAGCTTTAGTCAATTTATAGGGACCCTTGCAAGAAATGGGTTGAAACTACCCATTGATGCTAGTGATTGGAGGAAGGTGCCTCAAACGGCTAAGGAGGACTGTTGGAATTCTGCAAAGGTATTAATCATTCATTCTTCCAATGTCATCAATTTCTTAATATATTTTATTGTTTAGTCTAACACAATATATAATCTTTATTTGTAACTATGATTTGTTGCAGCAAATATTTGTTATTCCTGAAGAAAGCAAAGATTGGTTCATGAAGAACTTGGGTATCAAATGGAAAACGTGGAAGTACCAAGTGAAAAAGAAATACGAAACTAATGCAAATAATCAAAGGCCTGTTGGTGATCCACGCATTAATAATGAGCAGTTATCTAATTTGGTAGCTCGGTGGAATTCTGGCAAGTGGAAGGTCTGAGTATTATTTATTGTATTCTTTTTACATTTAGACATATTACTAGAACTTATTATTATAAATCTCACTGTTACAGTATCTTAGTTCTAAAAATAAAAGCAATCGAGAAAAGCTACAGTTAGTGCACTGTGCAGGCACGAAGTCTTTTGCTAGGATCCACCATGATGAGGTTTGCTAAGTACTTCTATATTTACTTTTGCAAGTATCTTTGTTGTATATAAAAGGCTTTGCTAATTTTATGTTTGCATTAAATTATTGTTTTTTTCCACACGAGGATAGGAAAAGTTCATGACCCGAGCAGAATTATTTGTCAAGACCCACACGCGGAATGATGGAAAGGCTGTCAATGAGGCCTCTGAGAATGTCATTGCAAGTGTTTGTAGACTTTTGTTAGAATAAATTTTCCTTAGTGTGTAGGTTAATTTTTACTTTTTTTTTGCTTTTAATATTTACATTATATGCTTAAAAAACCTGGCTTTCTATTATAGACACGGATACAACAAATTATGGCTTCCCAAACTGTTCAGTCTTTATCACAAGCTACCCCTATTGCTGCAAAAGATGATGTTCTTAGTCAAGTACTTGGTGAAGAGCGTGGTGGACGTGTTCGTGGTTTAGGGTTGGGCCCAACTCCAATATCTTTGTGGGGTGCAACCACCAAGCATCAAAATATAGAACTAGTTGCTGAGAATGGAGAGCTTAAGGAACAGATTAACTCATTAACCAATAAATACAATGAGTTGGATGATAAATTGAACAAGGTTCTAGTGATGCTGCATAACCGAGAGGTAAAATATTGTGATCTAAAATTAAATTAAATATTTAACATTACTTCAAAGGTATCAAGTTTATTCATCTAAAATTGGTAATTCATTTCTTCTAGGATTCAACCAATGTTCCATTCATAAATTCGCCACACAGTATGCATTCCTCTAGAGCAAGCCACATGGCTGGAAGCCTTGATCTTCAGGTGATGTCTCAATACACTACCTTTGATACTAGAGTGAGTAATGACTTCAATTTAATAGATATAACTTGATGTTGCTTGTTTTCCTTTTGGAATGCATGGTTCTTTGTTGAATAATTGGTTTCTATTTTGATGATTAATGACTGGAGGAGAATGTCATTAATGATATGAGAAGTTGGGGGATGCAATTTGTAGTTGGGTTGGATGTGGATATGTGAATATAGAAGTGTTCTTTTTTTTTTTTTTTTGTAGGTTAACCTTGTCTTAACCATTCTCCTCACTCTTAACTTATCCATTTCCGCCCTCTAAAACCACCAATTTATTGTTATAAATCACAGCAGTTTAAGCCTTTAAAACCACTTTTAACCTCCTTTTACTGATATAAACCACAACAGAGAACCAATTCCAATACTCCCTAGTTTGTGCCAATGCCTTGTTGCAAACTGTAGCTCATTGCAATCCCAATTTCTCCTCCTTGCACTTCCTATTTTTTGCCATGAACATCAGACTATAGCAGTCCAATACACCCATTAAACCTTCCATTCCCTTGGCTGCAAATTGCAATCATTGTTAGCTTTGGAACCATCCTGTATACTTTATTTGGCTGCTGCAAAATGCAATCACGCAACCCAAATTCTCCCTTTATTGCTACAAATTTATTGTTGTAAATTGCTGTAGAAGATCAACCTTTTTAAGCTCCTTGAAGCCTCTGTTTTACAATTATAAATCACACTTGAAAGCCACCAATTCACTACTTTAAATTTCTGCAAATGGTGGCATTGAACTTTTTAGATCCCGGAAATAATGCTGTAATCATAACAATACTCTACTGCATTTCACCATAGTTTTCTTCTGCAAGTTGCAGTTCACACCAGCCCAGAACTCCCCCAAGAGTTATTTTTTTGGGGTTTGTATGGATTCTCATGCCATGTCATGGTAAGACCTAGTAGAGCAACTTTTAACAGTTTTAGTATTCATTAGTATTTCATATTATGTTCTAGGAAATGTAGTACATGGTCTTTGCATTATTGCATATAGTATTTGGTTAACTATGTTGGTCCAATTCCATTGCTGAAATTCCAGATAACTCATACCTAGCTGAAAATAGAAGTGCGACTCGGGTTTGCCCAAGTTAGCATTTCACACTACTTTGGACTTGAGCCTTCAGGCCAAGCTATTCAAATTTTTACAAAAGCCCAACCTGAGCCCACCCAAGTTGCGCCCCTAGCTGAAGTAAGAGGCAAATGGAAAGGTATTCTGTTGAACAGAATTTGTGAGAGGGCTAAAAGGAAAAGTTGGTGGAAGTTAATTTGATTGAACATTGGAAAATAAATATCTGGGTCTGATGTCTCAACACATTTAATTTTGGTGCTAAGGCTCCGTTTGTTTGCGATACAAACGCCGAACCGGAGTATTTATGTACTCTGGTTCGCGTTTGTGAGCATTTGTTTGATACGTAAAAAAGTAATGATTATCAGAGTAAAAATGCATTTTCTGACACTTTTGTACTCTGAGAAGAGAGCATTATTGTACCTATTTTTTGGATACAATTTTGTGTTCTCTTGATAATTAACTTTTTGACCAAAGTTAAGGCATTGGAGCATAAGATAGTTGGAGCATTTAATGATGGACGCACACTTTTGCACCGATTTCAAACAAACAAGATGTACAAAAACGGTTTAAAATGTGAACCGTGTTTGCATTCATGAACCGAAAAATGGGTAAATATGTAGTGTACATATTTGTGTTTGCATTGCAACCAAACGCAGCCTAAAGTGCAATACTATAGGAAGACAATAGTATGCTTTATCTCAGTCTCAGGTGTTCTTTTATGATTTGTTTTGTTAATGATAGGATGATGAGGTTCCCAACAATTCTCCTTTAGTTAATGATACTGTCATTCCTGCTATGCCAACAACAAATAATCAGGTATGCTATTTGTTATAACAATTTACTTAGAGTTAATTTCTTAAAAAAATTTACTATGGTTTAATATCTTTAGCCTCCCATTTAAAAGTTTTTTTTTTTTTTTTTCATGAACCACTTTATTGCAGGATGGTGTTCATACTACTCCTGTGGTTGGTGGCATTGTTAATCCTACTGCAGAAGAAATAAATAATCTGGTATGTATATATTTATAAGTATAATATAATTAATATTTTGTTATATTCCAAGTAATTGTTTTTCAATTATTTTCTTAACAAATATGTTTTTCTCATGATAGTGTGAACCGGTAAAATTATTGGACTTGGACAATGAGGTGGTTGCTTATGCTCTTCTCAAGAACAGAGATCCTACAAAAAAAGTACAAGGGCGACAATTGGGAGATAAATGGTCAGAAGTACTAGTTAGGCTTTCAATGAATGACAATGCACCACTTATGAGGACAGATGCACAACGTATAACCATCAAAGATGCTGTTGCAACACAAACAATTGCTTGGCGAAATGATTATGTAAGTATTAGTTGCTTCATTATTTATATCAATTATTAATTTGACATTTGCTGATATTGATTTTGTATTATTGACATGCAGATAGAACCAGATCTTTTCTTGGCAAAAAGGAATTTCATTAACAGTCGTAGAGATGCAATCAGCAGACAGGCCATAGATGCAAACTCAACTCAGGAAAGACGGCGGACACAAAGAAACAAAAAAACAAGAGGCCAGGCTAAACAACAAACTGCAATGTCTCCAAATTTGTAAAACAAGAAGAGTTTGAAGCTAACGGAGGGATTAACTAATCAGGTGGGGCTCGATATAACAACTTCATTAACTCTATCTGCTCTTTCAGCAGCTAAGCAGTGACCAACCCTGTTTCCATTATGAGAAATAAAGAGAACTGGGCCTACTGACCTTTTGCCAATTGAATTACATCCAATACAGTGAAGTGCTTCAATCTCACACTTAGCTCTTAGAAAAAGAGTAACCACCGACTAAGCCCAAACAGCCATGGACCCTATATCATGGGCAAGGATGAAAATATCAATATGATACACCATTACACCCTGTATTGGTGGGCTTGGATATACAGATGGTTTTGAAACTTTGAGAAGGTAGAAAGCATTCTTCTAATGCTTATACAATAAACAAAAAAAAAAAGGGTATTGGTCTCATCAATATACATTGATTCCCAATTTTTGATCAGGCGTATTGATATTTTACTCCTGGGTAACGTTCATTTTTTTGAACGGGGTAACCCATCCCCCAACCCAGGTGCACAGATGGGATTTGATCTCAAGTCTACTGCAACCAGCAAGAGACCTTTGCTGGGTAACGGTCATTGATATTAGAACATGGGCCTCGTTACCATTATTTGGTTCTATTGGTTCTCCATAAGCTAGGACTACTAGAATCTCGGCTGCTGTAGGTTCTATTTGTTCTTTATGATTTGTTTGGTCATTATGATTTGCCAATCATGTCTTGGTAAGGTGTGGAGACCATCTCTAGGTGCTGTTTGGCAAGTCTTTTTTGAAAGATCTTCTGAAAGATTTGATAGCCAAAAAGATAGTGAGCTTTTATATAAAGATCTCGAAAAATCAAAAATTTTTTGCTTGAAATATTTTTCGTAGAATTTTTGAAAGATCATAAAAACTGGAAGACGGTTTGGTAATGTGATGAACTAAATCTTTCATTCAACACTTGGACCCACCACATATATGTCCTAACGTGCACGTCACACTTGTGGGCTCTATATGCCATGTTTGTGGTCTCCATATGCATCTACCAACAGTGGGCCCCATATACAAGTTCCAAATGTGTAACTCACATATACGTCCACATATATGCATATCATATTATTGTGGGCCCTACATTTTTTTTTTTCAAAATTGAGCCATGCGTACAAGTCCGTACACGTATATCATAGCCGTGGTTCCACATGCATTTACCAAAAGTGGGTCTTACATGCACTTCCCTTCAAGTGGGCCCCACATGAAATGTCCTATTTCCTGACCCTACATGCGCGTACCATTGGCAGCCCCACATGAATAGACAACACATTACCTTGTTTAAAAGTATATGAAAACCAATAATAGAGATTTCACTAACCACAAGCAATGTCATGCAAAAGATCATTTAATAGAAGCTCTAATACAACAAACGACTTAAAAAATGGTTAGAACTGTAGTGCTCTGTAATGGGAATATTCATATAATCAGTTGTATAACAGTAATCAAAATAACATAAACACTTTCTCAAGAAATGAGAGAGGAGTGGAGAATGACGTAGAGCGAGAGCTCACCTATTGTTCGAAACCTGGTGTTAGGGCACATATATCAGATGTTGAAGAAGGTTGTAATTTTTTCTAGGTGTGTGTAGCATGGAACACATTCAAAGAGAATGTCTATGCTGCTCCCAATGATGCTACATTTCAGATCTTCTTTCCCACCACCGCCATTGCAACTTTTAGCAGCGACATGTCTTCTCTCAGTCTCTCTCTCTCTCTCTCTCTTCCCCCTGTGTTTCAGTTATTGCCGTTGCAACTCTTATTAGCAACAACGGTTCTTTTCAATTTTACTCTTATATTAATAAATTATTTTTTATTTTTTATAAATTATATTTGTATTAATTATTATTAAGTATTTTAATAGTTTTAAGATATTAATGTGATAATTATTAATTTTTTATTGCTTCATGATCTTTAATACTATTTTCGTTATTATTTTAACTCTTAATAATTTATTTTTGATGTGTATTTTCAATTTTATTATTATTTTAATAAATTATTTTTTATTTTCTATAATTTACTCATATTTTTCAATATTATTTTGAATTTAATAAATTATTTTTTATGAAATAATGCAAATTGAACTCAAAATTACCAAAAAGTCTATTTTAGGGGTAAAATAGTAAAATCAATGAATTTCAGATGCTAAAGGTTTGATGCAACACAAACAACATTCTTTATTAAGAGCCTCTAAAAAGTCGAAAAGCAATTATGTCTATTCTCAAATTTTAAACACTTTTAATATCTTTTTTTTTTAGATTTATCAAACACGACCTAATTGACACACAAATTTGTTTAAAAGTTAATCATGTTCTATAAAAAAAAACATAAAATAAATGTCATTGTATAATATGAAGATGTTTATAACACCATTTGGTTCATCACACAGGTCCCTTCTAGTTAGTTCTACTAGATATGACAGATAATAGATATAGATTAAAATTTTGGTAGGCTCGGGCTGATTTAGTCCTAGCTTTGGTTATACAAGTACCAATCCAAGCCCAACATTAGCTACTCCTGGCCCTCTGAAATTGAATTTGGATTTGCTCCTCACAGAGTGCGTCTCACACCAACCTCACAACATGTTGTAGCCGTGCGTTGGGAATTTCTCCCTATGAATGACAATATACAAGAACGGTAGATATTTCCAATGTGCGGGTAGTATGTGTTATGAGGTCGGTGTAAGGCACGCCCTGAGGACCACCATGTATTTGAATTTTTTTGGAGGATGAACAACCTCATCTTGAGAAAGACACAAACAATTCTAACATACCTTACTATTCTCTCAAAGGTTCACCAACTAATGGGTGAGAAATGTAAGCTCACTTCCTTTTGATACATTATCCCATATATTCTACACTAATGATGGACGTAGTTTTGATGATTAACTAGGTTGAACTTTACTTTATTTTTAAAATTTCTTTCTTCTAAATTAGGAATTGAATTTGCTTATAAGCAGTTCTTTGGATGTGAGTTGGCCCTTAAGAATGCATACTTTACATAAGTAGGAAATTTTTAGTTAAAAATGAGGAATAAAGAAAATATTAGTTTTAGTCTATCAGACAGCATATTTCTGTTTTAAAAGCATCATTTTGTTGGTTATATATAAATGCAAATGTTTTTGTATTTGTTTAAATGTCATATAAACAAAAAAATCTTCAATTTATTTTGAGGAAACAAGTGTTCAATGATGTGTTTTTTTGTTTATATGAGAAAAATAGAAAAAACATTTATATTGAATAAAACCCTCATGGTTGAAGGAATATTTAACAAAAAAAGTTGGTAAATAAAGAAACATTACCATCAGAATAACACAAAGGCATACAATTTCTCAAGTTTTCATGGCAGCCCATGAAAATGGTACATGGAAACACATCCCATTTTTAGATAAATAGGGGACACTGTCCAAACTAAAGGAGTTTAAAGTAACCTAAGATATATAATCTAGAACCGTTAGAGCCAACCAATTGAGCTTTCAGAGAGAGGATATTAGATTAGGCTAAAGTAACTTGTTGAAAAGGGCTTGGAATTTATCCATTTCATCGTGTGGGAGGGCCACAAGAATGCTGACCCCATTGTCCCTAAATCCTTGCTGATCCTCAATATCAGGAAAGAACAGAAGAGTTCAAATCAGCCCCCCACAAGATTGCCCCTTACAACGTCCCACAAGAAGCTGCTCTGTTTACTCAAAAACCTTGTAGTCTCTACTGGAAACAAAAGACTCGCCGGAGTCAGTTTTTCATCAAAAAATGAAGAAAAAAAGACCTTTCTATGATGGAATGGTTAGGGCAAGTGTCATTCCAGAATGGAACTTGCTTCCACTGGAATCTATTTTTCCAAAAAATCTTGAAAGACGATGATCTTATTACTTGCCATTTGGAGTTCTGAACCTCGCCTGGAGAGAGAGAGAGAGAGAGAGGGAGAGAGAGAATGACATGGGAAAGAGAGTTCATGATGATAAAGACGATAATAGCAAGAGGGAAAACGAGGAGTACTGCAGACCAGAGTTCCAAAAGGAGGTGACCACGCAGGCCAAGCTATCGACATAGAGGAGAACGAGTCTGTAAGTACGAAATCGACAAGCAGATCGAAGGAGTCCGAAGCGGTGGTGGGGACGAAACTAGCAAAAGAGTTCTCAATGCAAAGGCTCTTGGAAACAGTTGGAAGAACAGCGGTAAGCGAGTGCAGAGAGAGGGAGTGCAAAAGAGTGGGATCTTAGTGAAGGTGGCAACACTTTGCCTTCACTAAAGAAGTTCTAACCATTGTAGGGGTGTGGTGCTCGGTTGGGAGACCAGTTCTCGTGCTCTCGGTGTTTCTTTCTCACTCTCATTGCAGAGGTTTCATTTCTCACTGGGGTTGCACCTATTGGGTGAGACCCCACGTCCCAAATTTTGAGAAGAGATTTCTCCTCGCATCTCACTCGTTTGTCCAAAACAAATGTGAGAAAGTAGGAATATTGGGCGAATATTCCTATTTTCTTATCACAGTCACACAAACCAAACAGCCTGTTAGAGATTCTAGATAGGAATGCCAAGCATTTGGTCGTAAAATGATATTTGCGATGTTGGAAATTTAAGAGCTATTTTTAAGGATGAGTGGATCAATCATAGTTTGAGTACTCATGTGTATCATTTTCCTTATAGTTTTTTTGCCTTGATTATTAGTAGGAATGTTGTATTGTCTATTAGGGCTGCTTCTTTTATCATTTGGTCTAATAGGGCTAATAATTTACCCTTGGATGTTATACTCAATCGCTTCACAAGACTTCCTATATACAAACTGTTCCATTGGAGGGTTATTAGAGATTTTGTCCCAATGTCTTTTGTTATAGTAAGAGAGGTTTTAGGTTGAGCTTAAATGTGTTTTCTGTAATAAGGAGTTTGCTTTCCATTTTTTTTTTCCTTCTATCCTTTTATTAGATTTGTTTGATTTGTTTCTCCTGTGGGTTTTTGTTTTGATTATTTTGTGTCTCTTATGTCACTGATTTTGCTTTTGCAAGTTCTGTCATCTTTAAATTCTCAATTAGTTCAAGTCTTTTTTTTTTCCTAAAATGGAGGGCTAGCTATTTTATGTTATCATGTTTGGATGCTTAGAAATGGTGTTCTTTTTAGAGGTGAGGCTATAGGTTTTTAAAAGCTTTTTG